TTCCTTCCTCCTAGGCTATGGAAGTTTTCCCTCGAGGCCATCTTCTTCCCAAGAGAAGGTTCGGTCATCTACATGGAATCTGTTGTGTTTATGTAGGACCCCTTCATGAAGAGCTGAGGCTTGATCTTCCGGGGGATAACTTGGGCATTTATCTCTCTTCTTTTTCCCCTCCTCCTTCCGTGAGATATCAATGTCTGCCTTCAAAGCTTCAAAGCACAGTCTGATTCTCTTGTTAATGCAGATGGTGACTTTCAGTTGAAACCAATGCTCATTTGATATTCAGAAGATTTTAGGGTCCTTAAGAATGATACTAAATCTTCTCTGCCTGTGCTCTATAAATGGAACAATGGAGCCTGGATGATAGTATATCTATTTATAGCATGGTTTGCTGAATATCTTAAGCCCTCTGTGGAGACGTACTGCTCAGAAAAAGATTCCTTTGAAAATATTACTGCTAATTGACAATGCACCTGGAAATCCAAGAAGTCTGATATAGATATATGTACAAGGAGATTAATATTTTCATTTCTGCTGACACAGCATCCATTCTGCAGCCATGGATCAAGGAATCATTTAGACTTTCATTTCTTGTTATTTAAGAAATACAATTTGCGACACTATAGCTGCCATAGTTATTCCTTTGATGGATCTGAGAATATTAAGTTGAAAACTTCCTGGAAAGGATTCACCATTCTAGATGCCATTAAGAACATTCATGATTTGTGGGAAGAGCTCAAAATATCAACATTAGCGGGAGTTTGGAAGAAGCTGGTTCCAATCCTCATGGATGACTTTGGGGGTTTAAGACTTCATTGGAGGAAGTAACTGCAGATATCATGAAAATAGCAAGAAAACTAGAATTAGAAGGGGAGTCTGAAGATGTGACTGAACTGCTGCAATCTCATGATAAAACTTGAACAAGTAAGGAGTTGCTTCTTATAGATGAGCAAATAAACTGATTTATTGAGATAGAATCTACTCCTAATAAAGAAGTCATGAACAGTGTTAAAATGACCACAAACCACAGAGGATTTGGAATATTACACAAATTTAGTTGGTAAAGCAGCAGCAGAATTTGAGAGGATTGACAACATTTTTGGAAGAAGTTCTCCTGTGGGTAAAGTGCTGTCAAACAGCATCATATGCTACAAAGAAATCTTTCCTAAAAGAAAGAGTCAAATGTGGCAAACTTTGTTACTGTCTTATTTTAGGAAATTTTCACAACCACCCCAACCTTCAGCAACCACCGTCCTGATCAGTCAGGAGATATCAACATCAAAGCAAGCCCCTCCATCAGCAAAAATATGGCAACTTGCTGAAGGCTGAGATGATCATTAGCATTTTTAGGAATAAAGTGTTTTTTTAAATTAAGGTATGTACATTGTTTTCTTAGATATAATGCTAACGTACACCTAATAGACTACAGAGTAATATAAACATAATTTTTATATGCACTAGGAAACAAAAAAATTTGTGTGACTCAGTTTATTGTGATATTTGCTTTATTGTGGTATTCTGGAAGCTAACCCACAATATCTCTCAGGCATGCCTGTACATTTTTAAAAAGTTTTTATTTCTGTATAGTCTCTGTTTTTTAAGCCTGTACATTTTAAAAAGTTTTTATTTCTGTGGCCGGGCGTGGTGGCTCACGCCTGTAATCCCAGCATTTTGGGAGGCCGAGGCGGGTGGATCACAAGGTCAGGAGATCGAAACCATTCTAGCTAACACGGTGAAACCCCATCTCTACTAAAAATTCAAAAAATTAGCCGAGCATGGTGGTGGGCACCTGTAGTCCAAGCTACTCAGGAGGCTGAGGCAGGAGAATGGCGTGAACCTGGGAGGCAGAGCTTGCAGTGAGCCGAGATCGCGCGACTGCACTCCAGCCTGGGCGACAGAGTGAGACTCCGTCTCAAAAAAAAAAAAAAAAAAGTTTTTATTTCTGTATAGTCTCTGTTTTTTAAGCTCCATCATTCATGTCGTTGGCTGTCCTTGGGTATTTGACAGTAGCTGATACTTGGTTATCTGCACCAAAAAGCATATCATGGTGTTTGTCGCTTGTCTCTCGTACAACTCTGTTGTCACCTTTCTCTGAGGGCTTGTGATCAAACTCTGCAAAAAACAAGTTCTGAATGAATTGGTTAGTTACAACCAAAACGTCAGGCCACTGTTATCTTCCCTGTCCAGCCTGGAAGTGGCATAGCCCATTTGGACTGGGGTTTTTAGGTTACATGACCCATGTACAAGGTGCAGCTTTTTCCTGCCTCTTTTAGAAGGGGCCTGTAAATGTGACAGTCTCTGAGCCTCATGGATTCTTCTGCACAGTATGCATTTACTGAAATTACATCCAAAGTTGTTGGCAAGTGACAGTTTTGTGGTAGCGGTGTTTGGAACAACAGCAAATTTTACATTTTATTGTTGTGGCAAATTTTTTCTATAAAGGACCAAGTAGTAAATATTTTAGGTTTTGTGGGCTACATAAAAACCAGTCTTAGCTTAAAGGAGGCATTAAAAATATACTGAGGGCTGGATTTGGCCCATGGATAGAATAACAGTAAAAATCATAATTAATCTTTGTTCTATACTGCTATTATAAAAATAGACTGTACAGTTTCGACATTTCAGAACCAATTGTTTAATAATCTTAGTCTATAATAATTGAAATTAATTATATGTTACTTTAAACAGCTGCATTCGAAGGAAAATTGCTCACTGCCATTTTTTGTTTTTATTTTATGTTATTATTTTATTTTTTTAGAGACAGAGTCTCACTTTGTCACCCAGGCTGGAGTGCAGTGGCATGATCATAGCTCGCCGCATCCTCAAACTCCTGGGCTCAAGTGATCCTCCTGCCTCAGCCTCCCAAATAGCTGGGACTACAGACTTGTGCCACTATACCTGGCTAATTTATTAATTTTTTGTAAGGCTGGGGTCTCACTGTATTGCCCAGGCTGGTGTTGAACTTCTAGCCTCAAGCAATCTTCTTGAATTACAAGCGTGAGCCACCACACCCAGCCATAATTAAGTTTATTAGCTCTTTAGTCTCATGAATGACACACACAAAAAAATGATGGAAACCAAGAAAATACATATATTAAGCCAGGTGCTATTGTGTGTGCCTGCAGTCCCAGCTACTTGGGAAGCTGAGGCAGGAGGATTGCTTGAACCTAGGAGGTCAAGTTCAGCCTGGGTAATATAAGTGAGACCCTGTCTCTAAATTAAAAAGAAGAAAAAAAATACAAAAGGAAAAAATATATATTAATTTATAATTTGGTTAGGGAGGGAACAGCTTACATTGTTTACTTATACTTTTGCTTTTATGCAAACATTAAAAAATAATATAAAATGAGGTGGCACATAATGAATATGACAGTCATGTAAATATAGAATAGTCTATTGCAGAATAAGCATTTGCCACAAAATAATATTTTAAGAAGACATTTTATGATATATTATTGAGAAATATACATTACAACTTAGAAACTTAGTATAAGTTCATAGAAATATGGATAATTAAGTGTTCATGTGTAATATAGTTACAGGAAAATGTTTCCTAAATGTTCTTAGAAACTTTAGGAATAACATCCTAGGCATTGTAATTTAGGGATAAGTTTCTTTAGGATTTTGAATATTTATCTCAATGTTAGTCCAAAAATAGGAATCACAAATTCTGATGATATAATTTATAGAAATTAATATTACTTTATATGGAGATTATTTATGTGTTAATTTTCATTCATTTTTTGAAAAGTATCTAACAACCAAGTCTATTACTGTATGTATATTCAGAAATTTTTATTATGGTTAGAAACCATGGAATTGTAGAAGGGGCTGTGTTTTATGGATTGAACTTAATGAAGAGCCATTTACAAGACATCTGAGATTATGGATTTGGCTATATAACTGTTAGTTAACTTTGGGGTAGCATGAGTTTAAATAATTCTGGACTTTTTAAAAAATAATATTCAAAAAGTACTAGTTTATTTAAGTTGATTGTGAATTTGGTTATTTTGGTGGTCAGTAAAATAACCCTGGGTTATTTGGGTTATTTCTCTATATTACTGCATTGGTAGTACACAATTAGTAGTAGTATTGTATAAATCATGACAGTGTGGCTCCCTTTCATTGTTTTAAACATGTTTATCTTACTTGAGATCTTCCTATTTAAAGTGAAAAAAGAAGTTTCTAAAATTTCTAAGGATAAAAGCTGGGGTGATAATTTTTTAAAAACTGACTTAGTAATTTTGCATATTAATTTCAGGAAATGAAAGCCGGCATTGTAATAAATTCTGTTCATGAAGATAATTTAGGCTTTCAAATATGGAAGCAAAATTCTAACTAATAACCTTCAATAAAAAATATGGTAGCACATTAAAACATTTGTTTTAGGATATATTATTTAAAATGACTTTTAACTTTTCTTGCCTCACTGAGGGAAGAGGAAAATGGAAGTTGAAAGTACATTATCCTGTAAAAACAGCTAAGCATTCAATTGTTTGTCTGTTTTCCACAGATGGGCGGAAACCATTTCCAATTAACCATGGTGAAACTAGTGATGAAACTTTATTAGAGGTAACAGTAAAACTTGTTGGCCCATCTTAAGTGCTATTAATATTTTGTCATCTTTAAAACATCTCTAAAGGTCACTTGTATAACATTTTCTTTGTATTTGGATACTTCTTTATCCTTGTTCTCTCTAGAAAATCCAAAAAGAAAATTTATATTAGTGTTAAAAATCTGCAACAAATGAAGAGGTTTTCAGAACTCTATGAACAAATGTAAAATTTGAAAAGGCAAGAATAGTATTGAAAGACTTACTCATTATATCCCAGATTTCATCAAATCCAGGATACCATTAATTGTATCTTGATCCTGATTTTAGAGATTTTAAAATATGAATAAATTGTGTGGCTTAGAATCAATGAAATGTGATTTTTAGGTGAAAAGTTTCTTAATAGCATTTTAAGAACACTTATGGCCAGGCACAGTGGCTCACGGCTGTAATTCCAGCACTTTGGGAGGCCGAGGCGGGTGGATCACCTGAAGTCAGGAGTTCGATACCAGTCTGACCAATATGGTGAAACCCTGTCTCTACTACAAACACAGAAATTAGCTGGGCATGGTGGTGTGCGACTGTAGTCCCAACTACTAGGGAGGCTGAGACAAGAGAATTGCTTGAACCCGGGAGGCAGAGGTTGCAGTGAGCCGAGATTGCACCACTGCACTCCAGCCTGGGTGACAGAGCAAGACTCTGTCTCAAAAAAAACAAAAGAGAACACTTACTATATCTTATACTTTTGTATGAAGCAAATTAGGACACCCAGCTGTTCACTCTTCTGGTGTTCTTTAGTTCTCATTTGGAAAAGGAAGTTTGCAGTATAAAATTAGTATGAATTAGAAAAATATAAATGTTTATCATTTATAAGTAAAACACTTATACATTGAAAAATCATACTTTTTTTTCCCTCCATAGGATGCCATAGAAGTTTGCAAGAAGTTTATGGAGCGTGACCCTGATGAACTAAGATTTAATGCGATTGCTCTTTCTGCAGCATAGCTTGTCAATAATGGAAACACCAAATACTGTGTGATTTGCAACTAAATTTTCTCTGTCATACACTAACTCAAACATTTTGATATTTTCCTTAACTTGATGATTAAACTTTATGTGAGTTAAACTTTGCCTTAACCTGTGTTTTATGTTATTTTTGCTCCAAGTTAAAGGCGCATTGCTTTCCTCCTGTTTTTCTTGTGAAGGATTTATCGGGTTTGAAAACTAGCAATGGCTTTCTTATTCTCTTTATATTTTACAGGAAATTTTGTATTGGGATACTAGGCACAATTTCCATTTGCATAACATGAATATATATTATCTATGTTAACGTGTTTATTTAGAAAACATCTGTTAAGCATCTACTTGTAATGAGATGGATGCCGTTCTGGGTTCAGAAGTTAAAGCATTGAACGCTGTTGATAAATGTAGTAGTCATGGAGCTTATGTTATTGTGAGAAGAGATAAATAACAAACACATCAAGATAAATACCAATGATAGATGCTGTGTGGAGAATTAAAGTGGGATTTGTGTTAGGGAGTGACCGAGCAGCTGCTTTAGATTTTGTTGTCAGGGAGGCTTCTGTGAGGAGGTGACTTTGAAGTTGAGATCTGAATGACTAAAAGTAGCCTGTCATAAAGGTGGTGGGGAAGAACAAGAAGTAATTAATGTGGAGTCCCTTAAAGTAGGAACATCTTGCTGTATTGTAGGACCAGGAAGGAGGTTCAAGAGGCCAGAGCATAGAAAGTAATAGGGAAAGTAGCAAGAGATGAGGTCAGAAAAGCAGGGGCTTTTTGATACAGGAAAAGGCATTTGGATTCATTGCAAATGTGATGGTAAGCCATTGGAGAGTTTTAAGCAGGACAGGGACCTGCTTTGATTTATAATTTTAAAAGGTCACTCTGACAACTCTATGGGTAATATATTGAGGAAGGAAGCAAGAATAGAGGTAGAAACACTTGTGAGGTGCCCACTGTAGTTGTTCAGTGGGATGATGATGGCTGGGCCTTAAAAGTGGTAGATTAGATAGAGGCCAGGTGCAGTGGCTCATGCCTGTAATCCCAACATGTTGAGGCATGCAGCCAGGGATACGAGACCAACCTGGGTAACAAAGTAAGATCCCATCTCTACAAAAAGAAAAAAAATTGGAAAAAATTAGCCAGACACGGTGGCATGTGCCAGTAGTCCTAGCTACTCAAGAGGGTGAGGCGGGAAGGATTGCTTGAGCCCAGGAGTTCGAGGCTGCAGTGAGCCATGATTGTACCACTGCACATTAGACTGGGTGATGGAGGGAGACCCTGTCTCAGAAATAGTAAATAAATTTAGATGGTGGTACATGAGTGAATTTTGGTTGTGCTTTGAAGAAGGAGGTGCTTCAGTTGAGTCTTTAAGGATAGGTGGAAAGGCCGTGGAAAAGTGAAAGTGCATTTATAGAGTTGGGCCAAAACACAGTTGGTGTGATGACAGTGTTCAATATGTTTTTGGGAGAGAAGTAGCTATTACTCGGGTATATACATTTATAAAAACTCATTGAATTGTACATAAAAAATCTGTACTTTGCTGTATATGCATTTTACCTAAAGTAGGGGGAGGTAGTAGTGGTTACTTGGTATATGCATTTATCGTAACTCTGAATTGTACATTTAAAATCTGTACTTCACATACGTTTTATCTTGAAAAAAAAAAAACCAGGGTTGGGTTGAAATGAGTATAGTAGTTAAGAGAAAAACCAGATTGGTCCAGAATGAAGTTTTTGACCAGTAATTGAATATAGATGTTTACACACAATTCACCAAGCTAAGAGTAGTAAGGCATGGCTTTCAGAATGAACTAGGTCTTTGTTACTCAAGTGTGGTTGCATCAGTACTACCTGGGAGCTTCTTAGAAAGGGGGAATTTCAGACCCCACCCCCAAAACCTTTTAACAAAATCCCTGCTTATTCATAAGCAATAAATTAAGTCTGGGAAGCACTAGATTAGATTAGTTAAGCATTTTTAACAAGATCCCTTCTTATTCATAAGCAATAAATTAAGTTTGGGAAACACTAGATTAGAAAAAATAGACTATAACGAGGAAAATAACTTCGGAAGATATTTAAGCTTACCATTATTCTATGGTGAAAAGGGCATGGGTGAAACGTTGGCAATAGGGATGAAAAAATAATCTGAAACAATTTGATAGACTGTCTATGCAGATGATGCTTACCATACCAATAATAATGACCCATGTATTCTATTCTTGTTATGCTATCTTTTGTGTGTTATCTTAAATATTTTAAACATTCCTAAGCAGTTTTCTGCCTGTTGCCTTGCTGGATCTCTCTCAATTATATGATTTCTTAATAGATCCTAAATCAATGACACATTACCTAGAATTTACATAGTTTCTCAAAGTATGCTATGAGGAACACTAACTTTGCAGAACTCTTAATGGGTAAGAGAGATTATGAAGTCAAGTATCTTGAAAACACTGGGTTGAACAATTTTTTTTGAAAGTTACAGGTATATTTGGAGGGGGCCAATTATAGAATGCCTCAGTTCTTTCAAAAAATATTCCATGTATTATGAACAACATTTTCTATACATTTTAGGGAGCGGCACTTAGAGCTAGCATTCTTTGGCATATAGTTTAAGGTGGTAGTCCCTTGTGGAACAGACAGCTTGAAAACTTTTTTTACTGCTCTCTTAAGCTTATGTGTAAACTTTAATTCTCGACTCTATTCCCTACAATACTTTTGTTTAGTCACTTTTGTAAAACTTGGCACTTGTAGAAAATATTAATAGTTTACTTTGTGTGAAACGTCATGGAGATACTAAGGTTGATAAGTTGTGGGTTATTTTCTGTATACTGCTGTTAATGACCATGATCGCAGGGAAAATAGAACTAAAATGAGAACTAGAACGAAATATTTTTGCTTGGTGGACTTTTGGGAACATCATCTTTCACTGGGTATGATGGTTTGCTTTAAATTATTGAAACAGACGAGCTTTTATGAGCCCCCAAATACTTAACCTGAATATTTTCAATGTTCATTTGTGAGTAAAGCAGAAGTTACCTGCATTCTATGGCAAGCCGAAGTTTAAGCTATCTAAAATGAAAACTATCTTTGATTCCTTATAAAACATATTTGAATGAATCTGATTTAAATTTATTTTATTCCATCTTTGATTTGTGTGCAAGCCTTATTTGGTAAGCTTTATCACTGGGCTGTGTATAACATACAAACTGCTTATTTAATGAAAATAATAGAGCTTAAAAGGTATTTTTAGACATTAATGTTTATCTACTACTGTATCTTTCAAAAGAAGCATTTCTAGGCTTATGATTCCTCTAATGGTGCTGTTAAGAATTGCAAAGAGGCATATTTCCATCACTTTTTAAAAACTTTCCTATTCATAGAAATTTATTTCTTTTAGGTAAATCTTATGTAGGTATATGTGTATACTCATATACATGTATCTACATGTATATGTATGTGTGCATGTATATATATGTACACACATTCACACATATGTATACCTTGAAAAGGCAAATAACCTTGGTTTAAATCCTTTTGTCTTATTTAAATCCATGACTGAAGTTAAGTAAAACCACTTTGAAAAGTGTGTAATCAGCTGGGCATGGTGACTCATGCCTGTAGTCCCAGCACGCCTGTAGTCCCAGCACTTTGGGAGGCAGAGGTGGGCGGATTGCTTGAGCCCAGGAGTTCAAGACCAGTCTGGGCAACATGGCAAGACCTTATCTCTACCAAAAATACAAAAATTAGCTGAATGTGGTGGTGTGCACCTTTGGTCCCAGCTACTCGGGGGGTTGAGGTGGAAGGATTGCTTGAGCCTGGGAGGTGGAGGCTGCAGTGAGCCAAGATCACACTGCTGCACTGCAGCCCCAGTGACAGTGAGACCCTGTCTCAAAAAACAAAAACAGAGGCCGGGTGCGGTGGCTCAAGCCTGTAATCCCAGCACTTTGGGAGGCCGAGACGGGCGGATCACGAGGTCAGGAGATCAAGACCATCCTGGCGAACACGGTGAAACCCCGTCTCTACTAAAACATACAAAAAACTAGCTGGGCGAGGTGGCGGGCGCCTGTAGTCCCAGCTACACAGGAGGCTGAGGCAGGAGAATGGCGTAAACCCGGGAGGCAGAGCTTGCAGTGAGCTGAGATCTGGCCACTGCACTGCAGCCTGGGCGACAGAGCAAGACTCCGTCTCAAAACAAAAAACAAAAACAACAAAAAAACCTGTAATCATTATATCAGGTTTTTAGAACTAATTTAGAGGGATTTATATACACATACATAAAGTTTAATAGTTAATGTCACCTGATTCCCTGGTAAGATCTTAAAATGAGCTTCCTTGTGTTCTCAGCAACATTGCTACTAAAAACCAAGTGTGGAATATACTCTTCAGATAGCAAATGTTTTGTCATTTCCTTTGCTTCTGTTGATTTTCAAAATTTTGCCTCCTTAAAGTACATAAACTATTGCATTGTAGAAGATTCCAATGAAGGGCATTAATTTTCTTGTGTCACTGGTGCCAGTTGATCTGACCAACCTAACATGCCTCAGTTTCATGCGTATTCTCACTTGTTTTCCTTCTGAGTAAAAGTTACTCTAGATCTTTCTCTTGACTTCTTTGTTTAGGATAGTGGTTCTGAAGCTATCTGTTGCTTCTACCAGCTTGATAGATGAGGGTCCTCAGTATGACATTTTTCCACAGGCTACAGCTAGATATTATATAGGAGGTTATAAAGACAAAGGCTGGATATTATGAGCAATTCCTTATTGTCTAATTGATAAGGAAAGCCCTGGTTTAGGGACACTAAATGTGTATGACCTATACTGAAAACTACTTTGCAAAATTAATGTAAAATTGCTTAGAAATATATAATGTAGCTCTTATAATCTACAAGGTAGAAATGAGTATAACTTGAATTATTTAAAATAAGAATCAGCTAAGTGATATGAATGGCACAATTATTTGGTTCAGAACTGTAATCTTTATCAATATGTAAACATAGTTGATACTCAAATAAATAAGTTATGTTTAATAGTGTGTCCTTTAAGAGCTAAAGGATCTCTGTGTCCTGCACATGTTTTATGACTACAAGATGAAAACAAATTGCTTGAGGTTTTATTTGTA